AGCCAGCCTGTTTCTAAACATTGTTCAGTATTTAGTCTAGACATCTAGCTATCTAAAAATGGCTGTCTTCACAGGAAGTTCTAAGTGCGATTGATATCCATTTATACATTTTAGGACCAAATGTCACAAATCACATGTGTTTAGGTAACACATTGCCTGACAAAAGTCAAATCATGATCCTCTATTTTATTCAAAGACTGTCCGTTTTTCTGAAGGCTTTTCCGTATCTAAGCACCTCATATGCATTACTGATTGAATGGTCAAGGCAAGGTCACGCAGGAAGTCTGTACCAGAAATGGGATCAGAATCCCTATCTTCTGAGTCCCTGCCCAGTGCATTAGCCACAGTTAGCCTTCCTCGCCTCATTCAGTTCTAATCTGTTCCATATCTCATAATGAGGGGGGATTTGATAGCTGCTTTCAGCTACCTGAAAGGGGGTTCCAAAGAGGATGGATCTAGACTGTTCTCAGTGTTACCAGATGACAGAACAAGGAGTAATGGTCTCAAGTTGCAGTGTGAGAGGTTTAGGTTGGATATTAGGAAAAAAATTTTCACTAGGAGGGTGGTGAAGCACTGGAATGGGTTCCCTAGGGAGGTGGTGGAATCTCCTTCCTTGAGGTTTTTAAGGTCAGGCTTGACAAAGTCCTGGCTGGGATGATTTAGTTGGGAACTGGTCCTGCTTTGAGCAGGGGGTTGGACTAGATGACCTCCTGAGGTCCCTTCCAACCCTGAGATTCTATGATTCTATGATTCATCTTCCCCTAAGCCTCAACCCTGGTTTACACTACAAACTTATGTCAGTATAACTACATCGTGCAGGGGTGTGGATCTTCCACACCGCTGAGTGACATAATTATACTGACCTAATCCCTGGAGTTGACAGCACTATGTCAACAGAAGATCTTCTCCTGACAACACAGCTACCACCTCTTGGGGAGGTGACGTACCTACATCAATGGGAGAAGCTTTCCCATTGGCATAAGCAACGTCTTAACTAAGCACTACAGTGGTACAGCTGCACTGGTGCAGCACTGTAGGTGTAGACAAGCCCTCAGTTGCATGTGTACTGGTTAGTGTTGCTGAAGGTGTTGGAGTACTGTCCTAGGTGCCTTCTGATACCAAATTTCATTCTCAAAAAAGGAAAGAGACTAATACATTCTAAGAAAATGGCGAGCAAAGAACTAGTAATTGAAATCCAGGCATGACTGTCGTAAAAGTAGAGCATTTTGGTCCTTTCATTTTGTTTATTACAGAACCTGAAGCTCCACCCGATGAGTTACTTCAGTCAGAGATGCTGGAAGAAGAAAAAGTCCAAGAGCCCATAGATGGTAGGCCAAGATGCTTAAATATAATTTTTTTTATTGTTCATAATGTTCAAATTGTAACTCCAACACCTTTTGACAAACCTGGATACAAATCCTCAACTTTTCACAGGGTCCAGAAACAAAACAATGGAAAACTTTTGTAAGTAAACAGGATAGCAAAATACCAGGTCTAAATAGTTTATTCAATCACTGCCCCAGTTGGTTTAATTTAAAACAGAATATAAAGATTTATCCATTCAGCTAACGGCAAATGTAGCATAAACAAGCAAAGCAGGTATTAATAGCTTCTCAGTTGGGATTGTTGGTAGCTGAGCACTTTTGAAAGTCTGGCCACATCATTTAGGTGCCTATCTTGGAGATGAGCTCTTTCGAAAACCTGGCCAATGAATTTTACTTGCCCCCTAAGGGAATGTCTACGCAGCAGTTGGGAGATGTGATTCACAGCTCAGGTAGACATACATGTACTGGCTACTTTAAGATGGCAATTTCCACAGAGAGCGTGATCTGGCTCCTACAGACCATCAGAAAACCAAGAACAAATAGGGAGAAACTCTAAAAAAAAAAGAGAATTTGTCTTGTTAACCTAAAATATTTTAAATCTGTTTTTACAGATCCTGAAACTTCATCTGAGGGCTTAAATCAATCAGAGACCAGTCTGAGCAATGCAGAAAACAATGAAAACCCTTAAATAATTTCTGATCAAGTAAACTACAGCAAGGGATATGCTATAGTGCTTGGAACATATTACTTCTGTGATCTGACAGAAACAGATTCATGGCTTTGAACCTTCACCGATTTTCTTTTGTAGTAGTTATTTAAGAACCTATAGGAACTGGCACATTTTAAAAAAAAAACCCCACACACCTCATGTTAATTGATTCTACAGGATTGCAAATTTAAACACAAATTCAATAAATAAAAATGTTAACATTATTTTATCAATAAGTCATTCACATTGCACGTGTTGTATATTAAAGTAAATATTTAACAGCCTAAGCAAAAATCTTAGGCCAACATTTTCAAAAATGAGAGCATAACTTTAAGCATCCCTTTTTTAAAATCCTGGCTTTTTTTATTTGTTTTCTGATACCTGTATGTTTGAATTAGTAATATTAATATTGTATTAAAATAAGAAATTAAAACGATGCCAGTGTAGCATAAATATTACATATTTAAAGTGTAGTTTTACTCTGAGAAGTGACAGTAAAAATGGCATCTCTTTGCTCAGCAAATAGAACTGTATATGCACAACAGTAACGTATTTGCTCACTTCAGTGACAAAAACGTTCTTAGCTTTACAGAGCCAACAGAACTAAGATGGAATAGAATCTGCATCTTATTCAATCTTGCACAGCTTCCGCAGATTGTTTACCGAGTTCCAATCATTTACACCTGTGCAAACCCACTGAAGAAAATGTTGCACAGATAAAGCTGAGTCCCAGTTTGCCTTACAGAAGCTTTATCAAAGATGCTGATGCAGGATTGAAAACGTGCGAATTGCTCCTCAGATTCCAGAATGAGGTGGTAGTTAGGAAACAAATCTTTTACTTATGTACTGAGCACATTTGACACAAAAATTAGTAATACAACGAACATGGAAGCCATGATATCAACTTTGCAATGTCACTTTTCAGACTAGAACTTCACATTGAATAGAAAAGAAAGAATCAGAGAATGAAAAAAAACCCTGAGGCCTTTCAAAATATTGAGGCTCTTAAGCAAGAATTGCCTTGTTTGTTTTTTTTAAATTTGTGCTGGAGAAGTCAAGGTACAATAAAGAAAAGCGCCTTCGCTGGACACTGTAGAGTTGCACTGTTGTGCTTTTTTTTTTGCAGCTTCATAGGTTTTAAATTCACCCTCTCCTTAGGTGCACCCAGCTAAAAGGGCCTTTAGTGCATCTGTCCAGATGTAGCAATAGCTTGGCTTCAGTACCTGGAGAGCATTAGTGGAGGCCAGTTAGCACTGCTGGCAGCACTAATGGTCCTAAGGGAGTCACGTCTGGACAGGGTCATGAAATCAATAGGAATACTCGTGTGAGTAAGGGTTGCAGGATCTGGCGTTTGATAAATGAATAACATCAAAGGGTTATAATGGAAACTTTTATGCAAATTATAGGAAACTCAGGCTGGTTTTGCATATACAAAGAATCATTTGAAAGGTCCACAAAACCTTAATCTCTACAAAGTTTGCTCAACCCAAGGTAATACACAAAATACATTTTCAAGGGTCATTGTCACTTACTAGAGAGGAGGTACTAAGGGAAAAATTCCATCCATATTTATTACATAAGATAAATGTAGTGGTGCCAGGACCACTCCCTTTACAAAGGGAACAGATTTGAACGAAACATTACTGAGAGGTGTTCTCTGCTGCTTATGGACCAACGCACAGCTCCCATTACCGTCAACGAAAGTTTTGCCAGGGTAAGGACCTCAGGATTTGGCCTTAATTTCTTGACACAGCCATTGAAAGCATTTTCTTTCTGAATGTAAATTCTGTGTAGCACACTCTAATCAGCACAGCAAAAGTACATTTTGCTCTCAGGATTGGCTCTAGAAAATATAAGCAGTAATAAAATGGGAGGCGTAAGAGACAGTCAACTCTGTGTGATCAGCCAAGCTGTGGTTCTTGACATCCCCGATTCAGTTACAGGACAACAGTGTTATGGTCAGGGAAAGAATTCTCTTTAATCACAAAAGAGCATTTCTTTGCTTCTTAGAGCTTCGTCTTAAAAGGAAGAAAAAATATCAACTTTTCTTTCATTTTTTCCTCCATTCATTATTTCATTCATTCCATTAGTTTTAAAAGGCATTATTCTTATGCTGAAAGGTAAGCAGGTGCTTAAGTCCTTGCCCAAATCAGGGTGTTGGATAGCTGCAGTAAACCTTTTCATATGCACTCAGTGGAAGCTGGTTGTTCACTTATATTGGGAACTCCTTTCTTTTGTTAGTCTACATCTTTTAATAGACAGTCTTAAAAACAAATTAAATGCCATTGTGCATTCTTAATTTCCTTTTGCTGCAAAGCTTGGAAACAGGATAAACATTTTTGCTGTTATCTGCAACAAATAAATAGTGTTTGAATAAACTAATTTCTGTTCCAATGGAGGCTCCATTTGACAGGGGAGGAAACTAAGTGGAGTTCTTTGGTTCTCTGCCAGCTGAGACTGACCAAATGGGGAGAGGGAGTCTTGTGGGTCAAAGGAAAGTGAGCTTATGAGAAGAGTGCTCAGGTGGCCCAAAGAAAGGTGGGAAATTGGGTGTTGGGTAGGATTTAGACATGGGAGTTGAGTGTTTTACGGAAGGAACAGCACAAATGGGAATAGTGTCATGGAGGCAGCAAGTGAGGGACCCCTAAGTTTCTTATGGGGGCAAGTGTCTCACTGGCAGAGTTCATACTGGAATCAAGAGTCTGCTGGGTGTCTTAGGGAAATCATGTAGGAGTCAGATGATTCATGGGGCAAGGGTGCGTCATTGGGGGCACAGGTTTAAGGGAATACATGTAGCTCTACTGAAAACCAGTTTGTCACATTTTCTTCAAACTTTGTAATTATGTTCTTCTTGGCCTTCAGAGTATTTCTACTAATTTTTAGACCAGACCAATTTTCTAAGCCTAAATTAGAGGGTAGTTAAAATCTGACATTGTAACAGCCTCATTGTAAGATATTTGTTCATATATGCTCAGATTTAGTATCTTTTAAGCCATAAATAATTTCCAATGCATACTTTACGCAGGGAATGTGTAGAGCATGTGAGTTCTGATATACTGCCTGTCAGAATAACTGGAAAAGCTTAATTTTAAAACTTCTTTAAATAAATGAATTTATCTTGCCAATTTTAGCACATGCATTGCACATACTGTACCATTTGGTTGTACTGTAAAACATGTAAGCTTTCTGGTTACACTAACACTGCTTTACCTAGGGGGTTACATTACCAGTTTGACTTATTACTGGCCCTGTTTGAATTGTCAGACTAGTTGATTGTCACAGGACACTGCTTCCTGCCTGAGAGAGAATGACTTCCTCCAGTGTCCATAGTAACGTCATGTTTCTCAGCAACCCGGAGAGGCTTGTTTGTGTTCCCCCCTTCTAGAACTATTACCTCGCAGTATAAGAAAAATGGCCCTTTGAAACAACGAACAAGGAAGTTCTGTATTTAACCATTCAGAATATTTATTAATTACTCTTCTGTGTTTTGACTGCTGAGACAATGTACGATGTCTTGAGCTGAGCCTTTCCTGTGTATTACCGTGAACAGCATTAATTTAAAAGCAAAATAGTTGTGTCTTGAAATCATCTTTTAACTACTGTAAAACTACTGAACTGCTTCCACAATACCTTACGACTTCCAGGCCTTTGGTAGGTAATAGAGAAAGGTAAGAACCATTACTGTATTTGAGAAGAGATTGTATTTACAATTACAGCATGAAAATAATTCCCTTCTCCCCCCAAAAAAATATATAAGAAAATGTTTTATATTGCTATGGCTTCTTCAGGGTATTTAAGTACAGAGCACCCTGAATATCTCACCTGACTCAGTTTTGCCTGACTAAAGACTGCAGGATTGGGGCGATTGATCTACTGTAGATATCTTTGCCTTCTAGAATCTTAGTTAGCCTATTTTTAAAAAAAAAATGATGCAAGACCCGATTCTGCAAACACTCTTACAAATGAGTAACTTTAATGCATGTGACTATTCCTGCTAGCTTCAATGGAACTACTTATGTGAGTAATGTTACTTATACCTTGCACTTCTATTGTTACTTGTGTTTGCAGGATTAGTCCCTCAGGTTGTAGGAGTTCTGTCCTGCATATTCATGATTTATCTTATACTACTATTACTACGTTCGGTTAAGGCCTATTTAATTATTAAATAAAGCATTTAGACTTATTGTTACTGACCTGCTATACTGTGCATTAAGTATAGTACATCAGATCCTACTGAAATTGCTAAGAGGTGTCAATGCAACAATTAGTTGCTACCTGGATAAATATTACTTTTACCTGTTTATCTTGCTTACTTTATGTATAGAACAGATATTAACCTTGGGCCAAATCCTGTTCACCTCACGAGTAGTCCCCATTAAAGGCAATCACGATTTAGTTACCTCCCTCTTTAACACACCAAAGTTTATACATTCATAATGTGTGTGGGTATAATAATGCCTTTAAAACGCTTTGAGCCAAATGCATTGCTGATGCACGTGAATGCAACTCCTTTGATATCGGAGGGCTCAATCCTGCAAGATGCTGAGCACTCTAGCCCAACTCAGCAAAACACATGAGCACGTGTTTCACTTTAAGCACCTATATAATCCCATTTACTTCAACAGTACTACATCTATACTTAACTTTTAGGGTTAAGTGTTTTGGTGCATAAATGTTTTGGTGGATCAGGCTAAAATGTGCAACATTTTGCAGGATCAAGCCTTAACAGATTTGCACTCACTGCATAACTTCATTGAAGTCAGTGGAACTGTTACCATTTTTGTTAACACCGAGTTTGCCCCATGTACCTTTATACACAATGTCACCTCTTGCTTTATTTTGTATATCTTTGTCGGGAAAACAAGGAAAGAGATATTTCATGTAGCGGGCTGCGTCTATATAAGTCTACGTCTTATAAGAAAAGTGAGGCAGCCTTTAGGTAACTACACCTTTAATAATGTATTCCCTGATGCACTAGCATGGAACCCCGCTGTTCTGGGGTCCCACTGATTTCCCTGGGACTGCACTAGTACATCAGTATACACCTCTGCCCCAATCCTGGGAGGACTTTAGTAAGCAAAGTTATACACCTGCTTAAATACTTTGAGAATTGGGGCTATCAGAGCTAATGGAGAATCAGGCCGATAAACTGTAATAAGGAAGAAAGTCATGGAATAAGGAGAATTTTTAAAAAGTGATATTCCTTTCAAAGCAAGAGTTTTGAAAGAGTCTATAAATGAAGAAACAAAAGTAACTGTAGGTTCCTCTATTTAAAATATTAATATGGGAGTAAGATTGGGACCCAGAGTCACAGCTTTCACACAATAAAATGGTAATCAATACATCTATAATAGACATCATTTTTCAGACTCACTAATAACTATAGGTCATTGAATTTCTATGCTGTGGAATTGGCATATATACTATCATGTTTATTTGATAAGTAGTGGTCAATGGCTATGAGTGGAAAAATACAATATGATGCAAGTTTGGGTAAGTTCAGCTTTAATGTCATATTTACTATTAATGTTTCAGACCATTTCCAACTCTGTCTAGGTTACTCATTTCGTGTTCAATTGAACATGAAGATTTTTCACTGAGCCATACATAATGCTTCTGGAACCTCATAACTGTTCCATTGTGCCCTGTGTTGCTAAAGGTGAGTGCATAACTAGAAGATAAACTTCACAGGAATTTTGACAGCAGCGAATAACAGAATTTAATTTATTGTATTTCTGACATGTAAGTTGAGAGCAGGGCTTGAAGTCTCCACTAATCTCAATGGAGAATACTTTCTCCAAAAACTTCTATTTTCCAGAGCAGGGGTGGGTTACAGAGGTTAGGTGTATGTATGTTTTCCATTCTACCTTTCCATATTCACCTCTGAAAAGAAATAATAGCACCTTAGTTGAAGAATCTTAGTCCACTTGGAACAATGTAAAAAGTTGAATTATTAAAGCAAGTGCACTTACTAAGTGGCTAGCAGACTTCAAAACCTGCTTTCTTCTCTGGTATTATTTAATCTTGAGTGGGTGGTAATGTTGTACATGCACATTGGATCACTGAATAGCAAAGGATCCCATATACCTGCATTTAAATTCCCATTGGTCCGGATTCTTCTCTCACACCAATTTACAATTACTCCTGTTTCACACTGATTGGGAGAGGGAAGTCAGGCCCATTGTCCTCCATTTAATGGAAGTTATGCACATGGAACTGCACCATGAGGGAGTCCATTTTAAAATAAAAACTTGTTTTATGTAATTTTTATTTAATTTCATCTTGTAAATATACCCAGTAAATGATGCAGATTAAATGATGTCCAGTTTAAAGAGCTTGTACATATCCTGGCTGGGAGCTGGGATTTAATACCATGGTTTGTTTGGTTACAGGAAGTCCAGTGGCATCTGCCTATTATAAGCCTCTCTGTTATGGACCCAGACCAGCAAGGCAAGTACTGTTGTCAAGTGCTTCCCACATTTCACAAGAGATTTCCCAGTGTCCAAACTAATGAACTTAACTGGAGTTGTTCCATCTTCAGAATCTTTTTGTTATAATGCAGGAGACAAGATTGAATGTTATGGCAGATCAGCCTGTTGCTTTACATCATACAGCCTGGAAAAAGGATTTCCTGGTTGTGTTGTTCTTACAGTATTCCCTGTATTATATATAAAATAGTATCTGTTCTCCTATCTCATCTGCCATTCAAGTCAGTAAGATGCAAAACTGCTGGATAATTAGATGTGAGGTGTAAGGAAACAAGGAGGACAAAAATATGTAACAAACCAATGTAATCATAGGACTGGAACGGATCTCGAGAGGTCATCTAGTCCAGTCCCTGCACTCATGGCAGGACTAAGTATTATCTATTCCATTCCTGACAGGTGTTTGTCTAACCTGCTCTTAAAAATCTCCAATGATGGAGATTCCACAACCTCCCTAGGCAATTTAGTCCAGTGCTTAACCACCCTGACAGTCAGGAAGTTTTTCTCAGTGTCCAGCCTAAACTGCCCTTGCTGCAATTTAAGCCCATTGCTTCTTGTCCTATTCTCAGAGTTTAAGAAGAACAACGTTTCTCCCTTCCCTTTGTAACAAACATATATACTTGAAAACTGTTATGTCCCCTCTCATTAATGCAAGTTAATCAGCAAACTATTATAAAAGCAAGAGTTTTACATCAAGGACCATCAATTACTTGGCCTATGCCATTTTCGTGAGTTTTAAAATTGAGGGCTAGCAGCAGCATCTTGGCCAACCTAGTCTAATTGAAGTTCAGGAGGTCCTCAGCCCAGCTTCTGCTGTCTGGTGTAGCCCCAAACTGAATACAATGTATTAAACCCTTTTGTTCAGTAATAACTTATTTACTGCCAGGTAACATGGAGAGAAAGTCTACTGTAATATTGGTGCTCTGCGTGCTATTTTTCCTCTTGTTGGTTTTGATTCTCAGGCTCTAAAACCCTCCCAACTATAAATTAATGACTCCCGAGTTGTGTTTTTTTAAAAACCTAGTGGTCTTGGGTACAATTCACCCTGTGCAGAGAGTCAGCACAAGGTCTAGCACCACATAAGGACCATTTAAGCCCCGGACCTTCACAAGGCCTATGCCCCAGTTAAGTCCCATAAAAGAAGTCCATATAGGGCAAATGTGGGATTCAGTGGTGCATAGGCCTCCTGCTGGTTCTCTGCACAGGTGAATTTCACCCCAATTTGAAATTAGATATTTAATTTATGTCTTGTAAAATGTCTTCTCATCAATAGTAACTCTGATTGATTCATAGATTCATAGATTATAGGACTGGAAGGGACCTCGAGAGGTCATCGAGTCCAGTCCCCTGTCCGCACGGCAGGACCATGGGCTAATATCTTCTTTACTTGGACACCTTGCAGATTAGTTTTGGAAATGTTAGTTGATTGGTACAGACAAACCTACAAATATGAGCAATCAGTAACCTAATGTTTGTTAAGGATTGACATAAAAGTAAAAAATATGGTGAAATGTTTCCAAAGCAGACGGCTACCAGTGCCCACTGCAAGTGAGCCTGAGAATGTCAGATGATAGCATGAAATTCCCTCATCTCAGGATGCTTCTTGTTCTCCTTCTGTAAATCAGACTTGGGACCTGATCCAAAGCCTATTAAAATCAGTGGGAATCTTTCAGTTGGCTTTAATGTGCTTTGAATCAGGCCCTTGAAGAAAAAAAAATCACTAGTACTACAAGCCAGCAAAACCAAACTCTTTTTCCATATTGCATTACTTGATGTGGTGCATTATGCTGCATAACTTCTCCAAACAGCAGGCAGCAACATAACCTGACAAAACAAGACTGGACAGATGGCATAGCAGAAACAGGTTTACTTCTATACCATAGGAAGCAACTGAGAACCAGCAGAGTCCATAATGTGCTGACTATTAGCATTAGACTGGCATTTATGTGAGGAACCACAAATTGGTCCATTTCCACAGGAAACAAGTGGAGAGTTTTGTGACCTATTTCTACTCAGTTATGCATGTTTGCAGTTTATCTACACCCTTCATCATCTGTAAGTATTTGCTTCCTATTTGAACTGCAGGGATATATATGGCTTACCAGGAGAAAGGAACAAGCTAATAAGTCCTTTGATAGCTTCTAAAGATACTGTATCTAAGCATTTTTTTTTAAATACAGAGTTTACGTGTATGTCTGTAAAGCACCAGGAATATTTTTGGCACTGTATAAACAGCTCAAGTCATGAAGCCCCTTACTCAGTTCCTACTCAAATGCCCATTGACTTGAACGGAGTGAGTAGAAGTAGTAACGACACAGGATTTAACCCAAGAACTTCAGTGAGATTGCTGACAAATTGTTTGGTTCTAACAGAGCCACAGATGTAAGACCCAAGCATTGTTTTCACAGTATAAAGTACAACTGGTTGAGAAATTGTTTTTCCCTGCAAAAGACTACAAAAATGAAATGGTTTTGGTTTTCATCCATTTTCCTTCAAAGTTTTAGATTTTTGTTGAAGCCAAGTTGTTGGGGTTTTTTTTTTTAAAGTCTGCAAATTTTTCCATTTTGTTGTAAAGCTATTTTCTATCAAAAAAACTATTTCAGTGGACATTTTTGACCAGCTATAGTATAGCGTGAGCTCTGTCAGTCTGTAGTACCTCCCCAAAATGGCATCCTCCTGTCTTGTGACTCCAGTGATGACAGGCTAGTCCCTCTAGCATTATTTATGGAGAGAGTCTAAAATAGTGATCAAACTAGTAGGCTAGTCTCTCTTTGAAAGATTCACATCAGGAGAGCACTGTTTTTCTGTACCATGTGTACGCTATACTGTAAAAACAACACTTGGGTCCTACAGTTCTGGAACAGAAACCTATTAACTCCTCTGGGCATTGGCTCTGTTTATGGTGCAGAGTGAGGATGAGCACTGGGCATACCTTTTGCCAAGTTAATAATGAAACAATATTTCTAAAACCAGTGCCCTTTCTTTATCAGTGCAGAGATGCTGTTTCTATAAGAGCCTGTTCAGTTACCCTCACACCTAGCCCGGCTATAGTGTTCCTTGCACTGGGCAAATTTTATGTTAAGACAAACATCTGTGGCCCTCTTAGAATCAAACAATTTTTCAGCTTTAATGCTTCCCCTTGACTATCTCACTGAAGTTCTTGGGATAAATCCTGTGTCCTTAGTCAGTTTTTACTCACTAATTGTCATTGAGTCCAGACTGGGATCAGGTGAGAGCTGGACAGTTTGAGAAACCCTGGTCTCAGAGGTCAGGTCTTTGAAGACTCCTTTCATGTTCTCTTAAGCGTTTCACCATCCCTTCCCTTCATACCATAGATTCTCTTGTGCTAGTTAATGTATATTTGTTTTCCTTTACAGAAGCTCTAAATGACATTCAGAATTCTGTCTATAGAACAGCCCTGAAACTACGCTCAGTGCAAACCTTGTGCCAGTGTAAGTAGCTCAAAGGAGTCCTGTGGGAGGAGAATCTGGAAGAGTGCTGGCTCTGAGTTGCAATCATAAATACTACTACTTGCTCTTCTCTAATGCTTTCCATCTGATGATCTCAAAGATTATCATCAACATTAAT